ACGTAGTATCGACCGATGATAATTTCGGCAACTGTGAAAGAAAAATTAGACATTAAAATAATGAAAATATCATAATGATTTAGATTTTCAACCATTTCCAGGTCATTACATGCGAAGTGTAAGACTTCTCACTAAGTAGTCACGAAAAATTTTTTGAGAAAAATTATGGGAGTTATACTGTTTGTTCGATTTTCTTAAATTATATAATTAGCAATATACAATATCGTCTTCATCATCACACATTTCTTCAGACTCTGTTAATGCAATACAAGAAATATGTAAGGACTGCGATTACAATTGGATTTATCGAAGTCACTCTATCCTGATGACCAATTAGGGATTTTTTTTTAAAAAAACGGTATGCATGTAGTTATACATTGCAATTAAATTAAAGTAAAAAAGAAGAATTTATTCAGAAACTAGAACTAGAAATTATTATCAAATGAGTTTTGTGCTAAATCTAGTGGCCAGAATATATTCTAGATTCTTAAAAAGCACTTATCGGCATTTAGACATAGAAAGACACGTTTTAACAATCGTCGTTTGTACTTCATATAATATTCCAATCATTTTAAATATCGTGAGATATTTTCATTCTTATAATCTGTTCACCAGATTCTGATAACCGAAAAACTGTTTTTACCTAATGTTGAACTATGTAATAAATGAGAAGGAACTTTTACTGATTGTGTTAGTGCTAATGCTACAAATAAGAGGAACCAATAACATATATAATTATAAAAAGTACTGTGAAATTATCGTTAACAGCTATTCGATCGACAATAGTGTTATATTATGAACTAAATGTAATTTAAAATTATCCTATCTATCCTATGATTACTGAACCTAAGTAATAAATATATTTTAACATGTTTGATAGCTGAATAAAACATGTATATGACGTTATATGAGTATTGAAATGTTCTTGGATTATGTGATATCTTTTTTACAACAGTTCTTAACTTAAGAAATCCCTAAAACGAAATACCTATTGATAGTTAATAAGTAAGCTTCTGAGTAGTATCATCACTCACTCGGAATAGGAGTTAGCAAACCAAAAAAAAATGAGTAGACCAACTGAGCCAAAAAGTCCCAAAGATTGTATAGCTTTATCAGGAACAACTGCGCCTGTAGTTGATGATTTCTTGTTCGTTGCCTGCTGTTCGGAAACATTCTCGTTACCAACATTCGGTTTTTCTTCTATAAGGACGCCTGCTTTCTCAATCATTGGTTGTACTTCAAAAACAGCATTCTCACCAATATTAGAGTTTCCTTCCACAACGATGGTTACTTTCTTATTCTCTGTCATTGTTGTTCAATGATTCTAAGCAACTGAAAATGCAATAGATTGTAAAATGACGAGTAATAGCCTAAAAAAACGAATGTTATAATAGATCAGAAAAAAAAATGCATATATATACACCTGTAAAAACCTTTTCAATGATTAATTGTTTGTGTCAGATTTCTTTTTTTCTGTGCAGGCACCGACGACAAATTATACAGAACGTTTTTTTTCTTTTTCTTCTGCTACACGAAGAAAAAATAACACAAAAATTCAAGTAGACATTTTGGGAGAAATACACAAGTGACACTATTACTTTGTATGTGCATGTTTTGCCATCAGCATGATCAACGAGGTATTCGACCTTGTAAAAAAAATTATTTCCATTCAGTCAATCCATGTGACTAAAATTGCAGAAAATTTGCTAATAAATTGGCCGATAATCTAACAACTCACAGAACAACATATTGCAATAAAGCACCGGTTTTTTCACGATTTATTACATGATACTGATGGTTACTATGCGATTTCAATTCATTAATCGTCGCAAGCAAAAGCAACATGTTTCTCTTGCTACTCCATTGAGTATCTTTGAGATTTTATTTCAATAATAAAACTAATTTTTATCTTATCAATATGATATACATGCATAGATAGTTTAAAAAAACAATCTAATGAACACATCCATGCATCAACATACATAATACAAGAGAAATCGAAGAAAGAACAAGCTTTAAACAGAAAATAATACATTTGAATGAATATTTGAAAGCGAAACAATAAAATCATTGATGGCATTTTCGTACTCACCATTGACATGAGTATTATTGTTGGGAGAATTTGTTGTGAATGAAATAGACACGTTCGATTTACTGAGAGCTTATGATTAAGTCGATACTAGAATAACGAGATTTGTCACATTCAATCACTAAGAATTACTAGAACTTATTGTCAAATTCATTTTGTCTGTTCAATGGTTCTATTATTTTTGCAAAGAATTTGATGGTGATTTCTTCGCTTGGATAAGATAGGATTGTGGACACTACTAATCGGGTGTGAGTTTATGAATAGAAAATAACACACTTCCACACCCCCACTCTGAAATCCACACCCACACACAACAGTCGATTGGTTCCTTTAATTTGAGATCATAAGTTGGGACTATGCCCGGTCTAACCTATACAATCGACGTATAGATTGGGATGTATAGAAAGGGCATATACCTATAGAACTTAGAGAATTTGACATTTTTTATCGGTGACGACCAAACCGGTCAATCGGATGGCCTCGATTATATCATTGTCATGGGAATCGATAACAACTGCAAGTGAACTCCATTCAATATCAATACAATGTCTTTTACAATAATTATTTATAAATTGTACTCATAAAAATTTCCTTGTTATGAAATCAAATTTAGATCTTATCAAACAATTAATTCAATCATTGAAAGAACGTATATGTACTAATATTAATTCTATAGAAATTAGTATCGAATCGAGATATTGAATCAATATAAAATGCAATATCATTATCATTAATTGAAATATTATTAGCTAATCATATATTATCTTATAATCAAATGAATGATTTAACTGAAGATAAATTTAATGAAATATAATTCACGAAATATGAAAAATTCTTTTCGAAATATTTAAACAACAGCTGTAGAAGTTGATAGAATAACAGTAAATGTTAAGAAAATTGACAGATTAATCAGATGAATGTTTATTCGAATGGATGTGAGTGTGTGCAAACTCTATCCACATCCTCGTTCTTTTCGAACATTCTTTTCCTTGCTTAGATATAATTCAGGATGTGAATGTAAGCTTTGATTTTGAGTCTTCGCTTAAACCACATCCATACCGTTTTTTTCGAAGAAATACAACAAAATGATTAACTCTATATTTGACTTCAATGATTATGAAATCGAAAATTACTAAACGTACATAATGGATATGTTGAATGTCTAAGATTGAGAAGAAATTAATATTTTATTTTTCTAAACTTAGCTTTGTATAATTTTCAAATTGATTTGGGTGTGGATGCCTACCTGTGACACACTCACACACCCATATTGGAACAGTATAGACTACATCATTATTTAACTGTTTAAGGTTTTATTAAATATTTTTACAATTCCATAGACACAAATATTTCTCTTTTATCGAGAACGAAAATTATTATTAAATAAAATTAGTAAATTGAATATTCTTTTAATTGTCGATTATTTCATGTATCTCACATGCCGGAATTACTACATAATTACAATAAAGAAAAATTCCAATATAATTGGACACAACTAATACCATTCATCATGATTATTATTTACTATAAACCAAGATGTTTTGCATTAAAAAAAATTCCTATTACCATTCCTACTAAGAATCTTTCTATATAATAATGCATAACTGTATTCTACCGAATATATTATTCTAGGGATATCATTTTTCTGTCATTCTAAAATAAATTTTATTAATTTTGAATTTGAATTATGTGGACTTCGTAATTAACAATAGGAAATATATCTTGCATTAAGTTTCAAAAACAAGCGTAATAATTTAGTTTAATTTTTAATTAGTAAATTGTCAAGTGAAAGTAATTTAAATATAAAATAAATGAAATTATTGATATTTTAAATTGGAACTTCTGATAATTTAATTCGCACATAAACTAAATTGAAAATATATATAAATTGACACCGCTATATTATTCTGTCGCGAAGTTTATTATACAAACCTTCCATATTCACATCCTCAACTCCTAATAAATTCTGAACTAGCAACATTAGCGGAATTCATTAAAAAATTCCGAGAAAATAAATCCTGGAAGCTGCTATTAAGTTAAGAGAATTATTTCTTTCATCAAATGAACAACTGAAAATAAATAAAAATATTAGCATATCAACAAGATCGATGAAACAAATGAAACCATTCAAAAGAACAAGATCATAATAATGGTATATTACGCGATAATCTTAATAATTGCTCTTTTGTCAAGTGATAGTCACTAAGAAAATAATAGTTGTGATAATTGAATAAATAATGATTTGAACTTATCTAATTTTTGCTGATAGTTTTTTATTATTATTATTTTTTAATTGACAAACGATGCAAAACTCTTTGAAATATTGTCGAAATCTGTTTCTCAACAATGTAATATCAATTTGATTTTGATATCTTTTATTTGAAAGAGCACAGTTTTGAGCGCATATATATGAAAAAAAGTAATAAAACAATTTTTTAGGACAACCAGTTTTAATACCATTTTCATTCCCAAATTCTTTACGAGAATCTCCATTCCTGATTCTTATGTTAACCAGAGTCGAAAAATACGAGAAAAATTCGTTCTAGTCGAACGCTATTAATAATACATGCTCACATACTTTTTCGTAGTAAAAAACAATTCATAAAGAGGCACCTCTTTCTTTCCTACTTTCAAAAAAAAATCTTTATAGTCAACATGAATCAAAACCAATTGACTACAGTCGGCATTGATTTGTCTACTATACCATTTTATTCATTTTTCTTTCTTCTCACGGGAGAAACAAAAAAAGGCTCGACTTATGTAAATATTGCTATTGTTGGTATGACATTGGTTTTTTTCCAATTGAATATGTCTTTCATTATGAAGTCATTGGAAAATTTCAACCTATTTTTATATTATATAAGTCCAAATAAATTGTATTCTCATTTACAGAGAGTTCTATTCAAATAAGATGCCTAAACAAGAATTTTATCGACAATTATCTATTGAAGAAGCTACAGATGCTATAATGGATTATGAAGATGATCATTATCAAGAATTTTATGATTTATTATTCAATCAATTATTAATTAATATTAAAAATATACCATTCGAAAGAATTATTCAAAATAATCTACAATATGGTGACGCTGTACGCAATAATAAGGAGGCACATTCTCTCATCTGGCTTTACACAGCCGATCGAAAATTCATCAATTCAATAAAGGTCTATTCATTTCGTTTTGCCAATGATTGTCATCCGGAATTTTATAGAACATTTGAAACAAAATCTCATCGTCTGTTTTCACTAGTAGAACATCCAAGACATAAATATAATGGATGGTATAAATATATGGGACGAGAATTGTTAAACTATTTAGACAAATATTTAAATATTGAAAGAGTTGTTCAAAATCAAATTCCTCACAAAACAAAATTATTTATCCATCAAAAACAAGAACGAATAGATATACAATTTAATTTCTATTCGATTGATGAACGAATATCAATCACTTTTGAACCAGGTTATCCTGATTTTCTTAGGACATTCTGATCAAAGATTTTATAGAAATTTTTGTAGAATTTATTGTTAATTGTAGTTTATTTTTTTTTATAAATAAAATAATCAAAAATTCAGATATTGTTGTTTTCTCTTAAGGGGACCCCCCCCCTTTCCCGACTCAAAATTTTCACATTTTTCATTTTTCATTTTTTGTGATTAGTATATAGATTTGAATGCCCTCTATCCATTGAGTACATTTTGAGAACTGAAAAACCACATCTTATATATAAAAAATTCGAAAAAAATCACAAAATATGCTGAAAAAACCAAAAAAACACAAATTTCTTTGCGTTTTTCTCAAAATCAGTTTTTTCAGCAAAAAAATGAAGTTTTCCCCCTTTTTCTCCGCCATTTCAAGTCCGATCGGGCTGAAAATTGTTTTGGTGAGACTTCAAGTGATTTGGGTTGGGCGTTTTTTTTTTTTTTGGATACCTTCTACCAATCAAGTTTGGCAGGCTTCGCAAAATTTTTAGGATTCAAAAAACCTAGAGATTTTGCAAGGTGCTCAGTATTTTGGTTCTCCAGCCTGAAGTATTTGGAATTTTTGAAAAAAAAAAAAAACGCCCACCCCGATTGGGTCCGTCTACCCACAGCAAAAATTTCAGCTCAAACGGATGAAATTTGTGGATTTGCGGGGGGGAAAACTTTTTGCAAGTTTTTGACCTTGGGGTCTCTGGAAGTCCATGAAGATGACGTCTGACAAATTTGTGTCTATGACAACTTTTGCTCTACTACTCGAGGTCTATCTACCCTGCAAGTTTCAGGAATTTTCGTTCGGCCGTTTCTTAAAAACGTCGGAAAGGGGGGGTCCCCTTAAGGCATTACTTTATAAAAATGATGAATAAAAATAAAATCGAATATTGTGGTCAAATATATGTACAAGTGCAATATTTATTATGATTAAGAAACGATTCATTTTTTTGTTACCCATATTTGTTCGCCTGTTCATGATGAAAAAAAAAAGGAAATTTTAATGACAGAAACCATATGCTGACAAATACAGATTGTTCTATGGAAGACATTTGCTGATTCAAAAAGAATTATCGTTGTTTCTTATAAATTTTCATCTAATACTGGTTCTCTACTAAACATCTCTGTTGAAGATATGTTTATAATAGGCTTAAAAAGTCTCAAATAGATATAATTTATAAGTCGATATCTGGCTGTTTATTCTTGATTTTCACAGGATGAAATGTTAATTATGTTACATCGACTAAAGATTTTTATCTACTTCAGAAATTTTGATTATTGTTAAAATTAATTTAGCACAATGAAAAAACCTTGTTTTAGCTAGTTTTGAAATCATAGTGGATTCAATGGTTTCAAAAATATATCCAAACTAGTAAATAATCAATAAACAAAAGTGGATATGATTTTCTCTAGGATTTAATCTTAGCTTATTTTATTTTTGTATCACAGTACTTCCTTGATTTATATCTACACTGATAAATCTTTTTGATAATTATCTTAGCAGTTTTTCACAGTCATTCCATTTTTATCATAAAATTCATAATTTTTTTTTCTATGTAAATAAAAATTAAAATGCTTGATTAATATGTAAAATTAAATAAAAAAAAACTGATTACATGTTTCAGTTTTTTTCTTGAATTCTTCACTTTTTCTGCTAATATTATAAGATGAAGAAATTAAATATTGAACCGATTAATAAGGATGGAATAAATATTCTTTATTTTCATTGATCAAAACAAGTGAAATATCATTGTTCGTACATAAAGCATATTATCTCGAACGAACATAAATTCAATCTATACCCGAACAAAATAGACAACCAGCAAAGTTTCCGAAGTACGAAACTATCCATGAAATGATAAGATTAAGCAATGTAGTTTTTCTATCTAATGTTGATATCATTAATATCATGGTATTACCAGTAAATACTTAGGGTTATCCAAAAGTAGTGGGCCAGGTTCTTTTTTTTCTTATAAATAGCTAAAAAGAAATTTCTTTTTTTACGAATAGATAGAGCGTCTTTCGCTCTATCTTTCTATGCTATTTGATCAGTATCTAACTAAGATCATAGTAATAAAATTCCGACAAAAACATTTTTAGTGCAACTCTAGCTGGTAGCAATAGTGCATAAAATCATCTACACGTGATTTTTTTCGTTTTTTCTTGCTTTTTCTCTCGTTGTTTCTTTCATCATCGTCTTCTTATCTCTTTTAATAACTGACTGTCCATATATTTCACAATGGACAAAGAGTAATAATGATAGAACAAAACAAAATACAAGGATAAGTTTATCAATTGTTTATTTCATCAAATGTTCGAAATAATCACCTTGGTTATCTATACACAATTGCATTCTTTCAAACCATTTTTCAAATGTTTTTTATATTCTTCATTACTCAAAGAATACATGAAATTGACCACAGCATCATATAATGATTGTGAATCACTTTGATCGATCAGATTTCGTTTGATTAAGTCGAATAACCAAAAGCGTATACAGGATTTACTGCCGTGCGATTTATTGCCGTAAACAATCTTTATAAGGCGCGCTTTGTTTACATGCAAATTTTAAAAAGACGATAATTAAATTCGAGTTATCTCATTAAAATTATATTCATTCATCAATTTAAAAAATAATCATCTCAAATATTTATTTGTTCAACTGTTTTTCTTTTCTTTTGTTTCCCCCACCCCCTGCTCTGTTTAATTGAGTAAACTAATCACAAATCACAATTATGTGAAGTACTTATTGAATTTTTTTTCCAGTTTTAATCTGGAAATTTTATAGTAAAATCATTTGATATCATTATCTTTATACAGTATTATATTCTTTTTAAAGAATCGATTTTTATATTCGAGTACTGTAT